ATGGAGATTTTATGTGCAACCTTCAGCTCTTAAACAGCAATCGGCTGTTTGGACCTATTTCTATGGCATGTAATAATTTTGTAATTTGTAACTTTAATTTTGCGTCGGGTGGGGCAGAAAAATAATGGAAAAAATAATTAATCAGGTATAATTTTTTTTCCCAAACCATACTGGTTAGGGTTAACCCTAACCCTTTTTTAACCCAACTTTAAACCCCTAATTTACCATTAGCTCTCTTATAGCAACATTAAGTTACCAAAGCAAGGTACCACTTGGCCTCCAACCAACGTTTGTGTTAAGAAGTTGTAACGTCCTGGGGTTTTCTTAGAAGGAGGTAGAAGGGGGAAGTGGCGCATCTTTTTCTTTAACAGCCCTTGAGGTCAAATTGGGGGGGAAAAATAATATGAATTAAAAAAATTGCTCAGGCAGTTTGTGTGCTGCAGAAGGTGGGGGTGAGCGGAAGAGAAAGGTAGATGGTAATGAAGGAGCTAATTGCTTCCAGTGGATTTTGAAATCGAACTCCGGCCCCCAGTGCTCGGTCCAGGCAGCACACAGATGGAATATTGATGACCGTGGCGAAAATAAGGGGGAAAATGACCCCGCTTTATGATCAATATGAAAGCCACATATCTGTGTGCAACGTGTCTCAACAGGCAATACATTCAGCCCCCCGCTCCCTCTAGTTTTTATGGATCAGTATACACTTACGCCCAGATATGACTCTGCTGAGGTGCGCAGATGCTACTTTGTATCAATTTGCACTCTCCTTTATTCGCAGCAGAGATGCTTTATCGATGGTTTGTAATTGCATCGTAATTATTTGATGGTTTGTAATTCCATCGTAATAGTTGACGAACGTGTGGAAGGCACGCTCTCGACGGTTGCTTCTTTTTTTCCGCTGCTGCAGTTCGGGGCAAATGGAACGACCGGGCTGGATCCGAGTCATAGTCTTTAAAGCGACTGTTGCTTTTTCTGTCACAAACTCATACCTGGGACCTAATCTCATTTGTGCAACAGGCATTAAATCCTAATTTTTGAGCGAAGATCAGAGCTAATCTTAAAAACTATCTCTGAGATCAAACCAGTGTTTACTTATTTATTTATTTATTTGGTATTTGGCTGTTCAGAGGATTATCTCCACAACCAAGTTGAGCATTTCAGCCTGAGGATTGACTCACTGCGATGTCTGGCACTCCAGCTTTGGCTTCAGTTCATTCCTTCCCTTCAAGGCTGCCAGCTGAGAAGAAGTAAACAAAAATGTTACATTTGATTATCATAATTATGTCAAGAGGAATCCTTCTGAACTATGGAAGCCTGTTTTGCAATCTGAGCTGCGGTCCTCAGACGAGCTAATTAGGGAAAGGAGGCTCGATGAGAGGAGTTGCCATGGCGATCACCTTTGCAGCTCGGGTCAGGTGAGAGCAGCACGGGGCTCGGGTTTCTGGCGCAGATGAGATGCATTTCGATGCTGGTGCGGTGCAGAGAAACACGGTTCATTCGCTTTTAGTTAGTTTTGCTTCAATGAGTGACGTCGAGAAAATGTCACCATTCTCGCGAAAGCAAGTCATGTGATGTCAATCGGAGATGATGGGAGAAAAAATGAAGCGGAGCTTCCAAATGAATCGTTTCATGATTAGCAATTAGCATGATTAGCTTGAACATCCGTTTGAGGTACAGCCCTAAAACGAATGTTAGGCAAGAACATATCGCCAATGCCGTCAAGACATCAAATGTTTTGACGGCACTGGTTAGTAGCTTAATAAACGAAATAACCAATTGAAAAATAATGTCTTTGCATTTGTCTTTAAGGTTTGAGATTTACCTTTAATTGTAACAAAACTGGAAGAAATCTGTAAGGCAGACCATGCTTTTTCATTCTTTTTGAAAATTTTTACCTCATTGTCGTTTCTAGGAAGAAATTGCCTCGCCACCGTCTGGGTTCAGCCTGCTCTGCTCCGGATGCTCAGTGACGGCAGCTCGGGCAGCGAGCCAGGATAACCACATTGTTGAGAGAAGCATCAATATTTCATTAGGCTTCTGAAAGACTTTTTGGAGAAATGGCTCTGGCAGATGATGATGATGATGGATCAGACGTGTCTCATATTGAGTAACTGCAGCATTATCATTTTGCCATCGGTGTTCAATCCAATTGTCGAACACGAAGTACGGAAAAGCACAATATTACCCGAGCTTAATCAGCAGGGTTTCGCGGCGCTGTCGACGCCTGGACATTTTTCTCAGATTCCGCGTGAAAATGAGGATACGGGGAATCGTCTGTGCATCCCTCTGTCCTCAAGCCTCAGTTTTAATAATGGCTTTCTGTTCATTCTCCTGGCACAGGAAGGAATGATTCGACTGTGCCTCTGTTGACTCCTGTAACATTTCCTTTTTGTCTGCCGCATGAAGACTTTGGTTTTGAAGCAGCAGGGAGAATGTTTCCCTGGCTGGAATGCGCGGCCCGTCGTCCCCGCAGCGCCTCCGCCTCGTCCCGTTTGTTTTCCTTGCCGTGTTTACCTTCTCGTTTTTCCATTCATCTGTGTCTTTGCCAGCTGCACAACACTGCTCCCTCATGTTTACAGACTGACTGATCCGGCACAACAAACGCACGCATGTGCGAGGTATCCCTTTCATTTCAGTTTTCCCCCAGTCTTGCGCTCTGAGTCATTTTTCTTTTGACCACACAAAGGGAATTGCAGGACACAGAGGAAATGAAATGACTATTTGAACTTCTCCTTTCCTGTCTGCTGGCAGCAAAACTTCATCATATCAGAATGCCATAGCAGCACATTGGTTTGGTGTGCTAACATTTCTTCTTTTGAAGAGTCTCACAACAGGTGCTGTGTGCTCGCTACGTCAGCTGTCAACTTCAGTCACAGTCACTTTACTGTTCCGTCTATCTGTTGCATTACATTCTCAATCTAAAAGAAATTTCAGGTATTTTTTTTTCCTAAAAGATCAAGACAGAGTATCCAAAAATGAGAAGCCGTGATTATAAAATCCAGATGTTGGACTCTATTAAGTGAAAAACCAAAGATTAGAGGTGGGTCTTTAGAAGAGTCTTCAAAGTCTCTTTTTATGGATTGGCGAATTATTCGGAAATTACGGAGCAGCGGCTGAGAAAGAAAAACCATGTCTGCTTTTCTGTTTAAAAATAAGAACATCTGAGACTAAATGGTTTCTTGGTGTCCTTGTTCAGGTGGCTGTGTAATGATTTAGAATCTTTAAATACGATGGAACCAAAATCATGATAAAAAACTCATACTGATGATTCTAAATGAGCTGTCCAGTTATATCCAGGGTTTCCCCCGGTGCTCGGGGTGCTAGGGCAGACGTCCAGCCGGCCGCCATGCTTTTGAGTTAAAAATGTTTCAAGTTGACAGAAAACTTGAAAATATCACTTTATAGCCATGCTTTATAGGAATACTGAAATATTAATACCTAAACACCAACTACAAAGTCTTAAAACGGCAATAATTAAAAATAAAATATATAAATAAACAATATTAAGCCTGGCGGGGGGGAAAGCAAAGCCTGGTGGCCCACCAGGCTTACAATACATTGTGGCAAACTCTGATCCATCTGTAGTCAAAACAAAACATAATTACTATCAAAAGAAAGTTGCAAGGAGTCTGCTCTCTCAAATGAAGTTGCCTTCATTTAGCTGTTCATGAAGATCATTTTACTTTTTACCAATCTTGGTAAAAAGTAAAAGGAAGCATCACATTTATTTTAAAAAAACCCAAAAGAAAACATATTTAAGAGACTAAATTTAATGAGATCAAAACAGGCCTTAGAGTAGAACCTTGTGGAACGCCACATGGAAAACTTTTTACTGGTGAACAATATTTATTTGCGAAGTACAAAACTTATATCCCTACTTAAGCTCTCAACTAACTCTAGAACAAATCTTACAGAGATGTTGGAGTTTCCTAAGAACAGTTGAGTTGGGATGAAAACAACTCGATCAAGAACGTTTCAAAGAATGGAACAGATCCAAATGTTCTTTTTGGACGTGAGGCTTCAGCACAGGATGTAATTAATACTTCCTGCCTGAGCTAACCCGATCCACATTTAAAGAAAAAAAATAAATGAATCATAGAGACCGTCAACCATTAGCACACGTTGTTCTTTACTTTATGGAAATAGTACCCCTCGTTCACTTTCCGTCAAAACGGCAATTTTATTTTTGCTCTCAGAATTGAGCCCCCCGCCTCATCTCACGTTACGCTGTGTGCTGATCCGAAAAGAAACAAGATCGGGAAGTGACCTTGTAACAACAGGGTAATGTAAAAACTGTAAAATCGGACTGTGTTTGATTTATGCGCGCCATTAGCGAGGAATTGTGTTCCATCATAAGTAGTCTGTCTGTCTGAAGGGCCGTACGTGAAACCTGAAGCCTTGATTATACAGATAGGATTTTATGATCTGAACTGAATGATAGCTTTATTGCGGCTCTAATTATGGGGAGCAGTGTATGTGTGTGGCGTTTGTTGACGTGTGTACCAGATTGATAGTAATCTTGTATAATGCAGTTCCTGATTTTTTGTATGTTTTTGTTAACGATGTTTTCAACCCCTTGAACTTATTTCACATTTTGCCTCGTTACCACCAATAATTTCAGTTTATGTGGGATTTTATGTGACGGGCTGACACAAAACGGTGCAGAATTGGGAAGTGGAAGACAAATTATAGATGCTTTACATCTAAAGTATAGAAGATGTGGCAGACGATTATACTTCTGATACCCCTAAAGAAACACATTAAATAAGGACGTATCAAGTTTATCGTTACATGTCATGACGTGAAGATAAGTTTCAATATTTTTGCAATGCATTTTATTTGTTAATTCTTCCTCACAGGTGGTAATTATGCTTGACTTTTAAGGTGCTAATAGGTATTTCAGGGCCTTTCAAGATCCTGAGATAAATGGAGAAATGTCAGTGGTTACCGCCAGTAATGCGCAACAGTGACGCTCGGGTTTCCCTACCTTGTCGTTTCAGCTCGAGAGGAGAATGTGGCCACCTTCCGCGGCTCGGAGTACTTCTGCTACGACCTGTCGCAGAACCCCATTCAGAGCAGCAGCGACGAGATCACGCTGTCTTTCAAGACGTGGCAGCGGAACGGCCTCCTGCTGCACACGGGGAAGTCCGCCGACTACGTCAATCTGGCCCTGAAAGACGGGGCTGTTTCCCTCGTCATCAACCTGGGTTCTGGGGCCTTCGAGGCCATCGTAGAACCGGTCAATGGAAAATTCAATGACAACTCCTGGCACGACATCAAAGTGACACGCAACCTGAGACAGGTAATCGGGGGTAACGGTGATGGATGGAGTTTGAGGTTATTTTTTTTTATTTATTGTTTTTGTTCTGTAGAGAAGCTCCCTTGAAGAGCTTTGGAGGAAGCTTTAAGAAACTCATTTTTATCTTATTAGTTGTCATTTCATCTCTACAGTTTGGAAACATTATTAAGAAAGCAGATTTCATTTTTCTCTTGGTTGTGTTAATTTCACACAAATTCCTTTTATGCTATATGTATTGCCTTGTTTATTATATAACAATTTAAAACAGGCAAAGCAGCACTTTATAGGGGTATGAGGTTTGATTATTACACTCACTTGTAAAAAAATAAAATCAGGAAGGATTTGGGTATAATTTGGTCCACATACAGACCTGTTACTGGCACTTCTTTGATTCGCATTGACCTAGCATGATGAGGAAAGGAGTTTTCAGCCAAGAACAGTGTCATAATTGAGGAATAATGTTCTTTAATCCTTCCAGGAAACCTGTTTGAGCAGCTAAAGACTGGAGGATAGAGCAGGGATGCACCTTTATGCAGGTGTATCCGGAACTGAAAAGGACCAATGCAATCCAAATTCCTCTTAGAAGGTCCTCATGTAAAGAACAGAGAATCGAGTTTGTGACATCTGTGCTAGATTCAGCTATAAGACAGCAGCAACTTTCTGCCTAATAGCAAACCACTGAGGTGATTCCCTCCATAGCTGCACGACAAGACCGCTCAGCTGTAAGTAATCCCACAAAATAATGCTGATGCATCTACAGAGAAGAGATCTGTGACACTAAATGTTTTGAATCACTAGAAGTTCCCCTCACGCCTGCTCGATCACATCATTTGATAACTCTTTTCAAACAAAATCCTTTCGAGACCCCTCTCTGGTCTTCATGTGAACCACATTAGATCCAACACAAACCTTTGGGCGCTAAGCCTCCTGCTTGGCAGCTTGTTTTACAGTGAAATATTCAAATCTCTACTTGACGTTACAAGTCAAGAAATTCCTTCTCTTGGCATCGGGCCTGTTGTTTCCCACAGCTCAACGATGTCCAGTGATGCTCTCGTACTTTTTGTGATTATGTAAGCTGACACTGTTTCTGGGTTTCTTCGCTGTCTCCTTGCCTCAATTAGGAGAACGGTTTCTGTTGAGGTGTAGCGTTTAAATTTTAATTTAAAGCCAAGTGGAAAGTGTTTGAGTCATCCATTACTGCTTTGCTACGATTACTGTTTTACATTTTCCAATTATTTATAATTAGCTTGTATTTTGCGGTTCAGTGGAGCTAATATGAATCAGCGGAGTCTTGTGACGGCCGTAGAAAGATGCCAACGGACTTAACAGAGCCAGTGGTACGTGAAGGTAACTCTAGCAGGATGTTGGGTTTGCCCATTGTCCCGGTTGACCTTTAGTTTGTCAAGTAAGGCAGCATTTAGTTTTGGTGACAGAGCAGAAATACAAGTAAGTGCCGTTTTCTAACCCTTTCTGACAGTAAGCCTAGTCCCACAGGTTAGCAAGTAGTCGTAGCAGAAATTCCCAACAGAGGCTTGGTTATAGGCTAAGAGCTTGTCACTTTTCCTCACTGTCTCTCTTTCTTTCTCTGTCATTTCCTTTCCTCTTTCGAAGGAGCACTTTGTTAGACCAAAGGTGGAAAAACACTGCAGGTTTTGCTGGAATCCGAGCCATCCCATGCAAATATCTGACAGGACGTCCGCTTAGCTTGTGTTCTCGCAGGACTCCGGTGTCGGAAATTTGCTTCGGATGGCGCGAAGGCGCCGGATTACCGCTGCCTGATCGCTGACGAATCAACGTAGTGTTTATTCACCGCTCTACTAACTCATCCATGTTGACTTCCATTTCTTTTGTTTTCTTTACTACTAACCAATTTCTAACCAACTAATGTACTAACTGACATCCTACTTCTTCATCGTTGCGTTTGGTTTTTTCGTTTTCTGTCCATCCTTATTAACAACCTTTTTTGTTCACTATTCTGTTGATTTCCTTTCTTCCCCTTTTTCTGGAAAGCAATCAGGCATTGGACACGCTATGGTAAACAAACTACATTGTCTGGTAGATATCATTCTTATTGTCTTTTTTTTGGGTTTGCCGTGTGTCCCCCTCCCCCCTCTCTTCTTTTATTCGTTCTCTTTGAGTTCCATCCTAGACACTCTTATCAAAAAATGAGGAGATGGGTTTGTATTACCAGGCAATTCTTTCTTCGCTTCTTCTCAATTTCCGCCCTGACCTGCCAACAACCTCCTTCTTTACCCCACAATCCCCCATCCTGTTCTTTTCACTTTGGCTTTTACTTTTTTTCCCCCCTCTTTGTTTCTTCCACATTACTACAGATTTCCGACAAGTTAAATAAAGAAAAAAAAAAAGAAAAAGAAATTACTTCTTTGCCTTTAACGGGGCAACGTACTTTTTTTTTTTAATGTTAATTTTTCACACAAGAAAAGTCCCCATTTTTTGTGAGGACTGTCGTCAAGAACTGACAGAAGCTTACCACAATCTCCAAGTTGGTGACCTCGACACCGAGCCCTAAAAGAGACGCCGGCATTAAGAAAAAAAAGAAAAAAAAAAAAAAAGGCATCCCTTAACCTCAATTGCGGGAGCTCTGACAGTTGTTTCCAACTCACTATGGCGCATGGCATGCCCACACCTCATCAATCGACCTGTCATCTGCCAAACTCATAGATCCTCAGCCCCACCACCCAGAATAACCACTAACACTATAATCCATTCACTCACCCTTCACCTCTCACTGTACCACTCACTCTGCCCTCCCTATCTGTAGTTTTTTGTGGCATGCTGGTGAAAAGGTGTTTGTGTGTTTTGATAACCCCTGGGCCCATACGCGTAACATTTCAATAAACCAGCATATGATCTTGGATTACCGGTCTGATCTGGTGACACTGACAAAAGAAATATACTAGAGATGCGCCGATCAAGGCTTCTACTGGCCGACACCGATGCGTCTGATTTTTACTTTTTTTGTTTTGACGAAATTCATTTTTGAAATGTAAAAGGATAAATAGAATAGATGGAGTCGCTATACATTCAACAGAAAATGAGAAGAAGAAAAGATCTCTTGAATTATTTCTTCCAAAATCTAAGTTCTCAGATTTTCTGTCTTTAGGGGAGTAAGTTTCTTTGTATATATCTATTTATTTATTTATTTATTTATTTTTCTCCTCACAAATCATTAAATAACAAAATATCAACGTTAGTTCCGAGCTTTAAGTAACTTTTGGGATATAACATGTGAACCAGTGTTGACCAGTTTAAAATACTTGGAGAAATTTGGACTGGTTTACCATGTAATCATTAAATCACCAGTTGTGTTTATGAGAATTCACATGTATATAAATGTCAGGATATTTATAAATGATCTATAAAGCTTTGTTGGATATCGTAGGTGAACAAATTGTTGGGATGTTTAAGGCAGGTTTGAATCCTAATATATCCCAAGTTTTTGAACATCTCAAGAAGTGTTGTTCAATTCATTGTTTGAAAATAGAAAATGGCATAACTTCTGTTTCTTTTCAGTAGATATAGTAGTTTTAAATAAAATAGAAAATTATAAGATTATCCCCATTCATGCATCAGTGGTCATTAACACTCTACTTTTCCCAAATTAAAACAGACTTGCGAGATTTACTTCTGCTTCAGAGCACTTTAAAAGCTAAGTTCAATAGCCTGAACTCCAGATTAAAACCCAAGATAACATAATCAACAGGCTAAAAAACACAATTAGCATAACTCTTTTTGTAATTAAAATAAAAAAAAGTCTGTTTAACTGTTAGTAACTGGAGCAAAAATGAAAGCTTTATGAATATATTACAAATATTAATCAATGTAAAACATTTTTTTTTATATAAGAAATTGAATCTGATGTTTTAAGCAGATTTAAGAAATAGAGCCTGGAAACTCATTAAGAAATTTATCGTTTCACAACGATAAAATCAGATTCTGTACTTTCCCACCATTTACGACTGTGTGCACACCTTAACGTTTATGTAAAATCAACTTAAATCCTCCACAAAATATGTTGATGAGGTTAGAAATCGAAACGGGTTGCAGTTATTAGTTTGGATACATTTTACAAAAAGGATAAAGAAACATGCAATTTTTTCAGTATGAGACCTGGCTAATTCGTGCCAATTGATTGACGCATCTCTAGCAAAATAAAACCAAAAAAAACAAAGCAAAACATGACACTCGATCTAAATCTGATCAGAGATCATCCTCTGTAACTCTGCAGCGTTGCTCGTGTATGGATTCCAGTCTTGCATGAGCCCCTGTACCATGTGTGCATGTTCCAGATCTGTATGCCACCATCAAATTCACGTTCCATCTCCAGTCAAAGTGTGCTTAATTTGCTTTTCTAAGAATTTTGCCTTTGGTTTGCACATTGATGTGGTGTTTAAAGAAAAACAAAAGCCTCCCTTTGTTTTGCATGTGCGTGGATTTACAGACGTGGATGTCCAGAGGAGTGTGCGAGACAGTTTGGACGAGTGGAGGCGTGTGTTGGCGCGTGCGTGTGTGTGTGTATGTGTGTGTGTGTGTGTGTGTCTGCAGTAAGAGATAAATCCCGAAACCTAAGACAAGTGGAATCAATTTGTCCTTGGTTTGAACATTGTACTAACCCTCTCCCAACCTGAAGGTTCAGAATCAAACCTAAGATCCATACTCTTACCCCCATCAAAGATAAAGAAAATATGCCTGTGCCATATTTTCTTTACCTGTCCTGTGAATCCTTTGGCAACAAAAAATTCCATTAACCCCAAAAAATAAAATTAAGATCTTAACCATCCTCTGGTCCAAATCAAGAAAAAGCTTCAAGGTACCAAAAGACAAAATAAAAAACAAAGTTCATAAACCTGAGTTGAAATGCAGACCAAGGAAGGAAATGTGCTTTGTACACAACACAGGAGCGAATTCCAGAGTGTAATGGCTCGGCTTTGGCTATGTGTTACGCCCCGACAGGTGACAATCTCCGTGGACGGCATCCTCACCACCACCGGCTACACTCAGGAGGACTACACCATGCTGGGCTCCGACGACTTCTTCTACGTGGGCGGGAGCCCCAGCACGGCGGACCTGCCGGGATCTCCAGTTAGCAACAATTTCATGGGCTGCCTCAAAGAGGTAAAGACACATCATCAAGAGAGCAGGCGTATTACTACATCATAAGTCACAAAGACAACGGTTTCTGGAGCCGTGCTGTCATGTAAGCAGCTGTTAGTGCTCTGTTAAACAGAAAAGCTGTCTTTGAAATGCACAAAAATGGTCATCCAAACCCTTCGAAAGGCCCCGGAGACGAGGGGGTGACGGGTGGGGTGGGATAAAATTGAATTATCAATTAAAGGTGCTGAGTTAGCAGAGGAGCAATCAGACTTTCAATATCCCTTCACTTAATCTAATTCATAACACTTACTGCAGTTGGTGAGCAAGAAAATACCCCAAAATTGCTTCTGTCACAGGCAATTTGCAGAATTGGCTTGAGTGTGTGGCTAAAACGCCTCCCGATGGGCAGCGTTTTCAAAGAGACATTCGCTTCTGATGAAACAAGCCGAAACTGGACCACTCATTCTACATGTGTTGGCTCACCAGTTGTGAGGAAGCATGTACTCGATGCTGGTTGTTTTAAACATTTTTCAACTCTGAACTAAGCTTCTACAATTTGAAGAATTGCATCGTCTTTTACGTTGGTTTAAACTTCTCAGTTCCTCGTTACTTGATGGATTTTATTTGGTCCCGTAGAAACATGAGACACTACGGCATACAGGGTGTCGTTTCTGTAATTACACGGTCAAAGATGACAAAGTCATTGCAGTGTGTTGTAAGAGGAAAAAACGCGGGGGTTCATTTTTCCTTGTCATATTTATACAAATGATAAATTTAGCAAGCAAGCAAAATATTTAGTGTGAAGCTAAATCTTTAGCTCAAAGCATAAAAGAAATTGACTATTAAAATAAACCTGGGTCTTGCTAAACTCTATTCTTAAACTTGTGCTGGCAGGGTTCAGGATTTGCCTCTTTATTCTTGTTCTTTTGTTTGTTCCCCCGTTTTTGAACATTTTAGCTTAAAACAGAGGATGAGCCATTTCATTTTAAATACAGTACAGATCTCTACCAGCCTGACCCACATGAGTTTAAATATTTAGTTTGACTTGTAGGACTGAAATGGAATAAATATAACTTTGAGAATTTTCCCTCTTTTTTTCTCCCTCTTACGACAAGCTTTTAAATGACAGAAAATATTACGTAACGTCATGATGCTGTCAGTGTGAACCTATTTCTCAGAGGATAGCTGTGGAATCGCTGCCACACAGAAAATATATCCATATAAAGTCAATAAGTGTACGTTCACATTTTAGCACAATCGTTTCCCCTGAAGCTGACAGAACAGAAAGGATCAAACTGATCAGTTAGAGAGAATGTTATTTTGTGCTTCAAGTCCATAGCGCAATTTATTTAAGTTTTCTGTATAAAGATATCAAAGTGGGTTTTTATTTGGGGGGAGAGGGGGTTGTTTGTTTGTTTTTTACTGAATTTCAAAACTCTTTCTCATATCTTTAGGTTTATTCTTTTGGCATTCATATAAATTGTCCACAGTGATGTGATGTGAACTTCTTCATACTGCCTGTGAGTCTCACACAGTTGTCTCATCATTCATCTCTAGATGCTATGACCTCTGCGAGGGTTTCGGAGAAATTACATATTTACAGTCCTTTCCAACCCTTCTTGCACTGACTGCCATTTAAGATAAGCATTTAGCATGCCGAGGTGAAACGCTTTCCCTCGGCGTAGGCCGGAGGTTGCGTTAGACGTTCTCGTTGTCCAGCACTTTGACAGACGCTGTCAAAACAATTCCATCATAACCTATTTCTACCTGTTATTTTTTTGAAATTATAATACTGGCATATTTATTTCATATTCGTTCAGCTTAATAAGCAAGAAGCCGAGCAGAGAATCCACATTATGTCATCAGACAAATGTGTGTACCCTTTTTCTGATTGATACAAACCAGTGACTGTGGCCTTGGCAACTACATATAAACAAGGGAATGAAATGATGGCACTTAAATTATAGACATGAATTGTCTGGAAGTCTTAATGTTGATCTGGAGGCTGAATTCAGGCTGTGTTTCGTCTTGGTCAGTCACATAAAATCAAAATAAAATTAATTACAGTATGTGGTCAGAACATGCTAATGACAGCAAAGTTTAAAGGAGTATGAAAACTTTGGCGTTTTAACCGCTTGCATCACGATAAATATTGATAAAGAAACGCAGCAAAGAGCATTCATTTCTTCCTCCTGATCAATATTACTTCATAGAGTTTTCATCCTTGAAAAATGTGTCTTCCCTTCCTTTTTGCATCCTGGAAGGACTAGTTGGCATCCAATAGCTAAAATATGTGATGTGTTGTTCAGAAAAGCTTCCAACAGACTCAGCTGTATAAACTCCACAAGTTTGGGCTAATTGCTTGCCTTAGAATAATCCCACAGCGTTTTAATTTGCTCCAAATGATTAATGGAAGTTCTGTGGAGGAGTCATGTGGTCCAGTGTTCTGCTTACTGATGCACAGTGAGTTCACATCCAAGCTTTCTCACCAATATTCCAGCACCGCTTCTGTCTATTCATGATTTGCCATATTAATTGTGTTATGTGTGTATGCGTACACTCACTCCAAAACACAAATATTGGGGCCAAACAGTAAAAGAAACATTCATTTTCAAGGATTCGTCTGCGATACATAAGAGATTGCCATCAAAAAAAAAAAGTTCCCAGAACATCTGGTTTAATAAAAATCATTAGCGCAGCTCTCATTTAACTTTTACAATTTCTTTAAAATTGCCTCCAGCTGGATAGATTGATTATTTCTTTTTTTTCCCCTCCCGGTCACACGTGTGCAGCGCTCTTCAATGAGCCGCTTGGTTCTTCCATAATTTAAATCACGCACTTCGGCAGCCAGTTGTCTGTTTACATATCCAGATGTTAGCGGTAATTTGGAGTCTGGCCTCCAGCAAAACCGAGAGATGTGCTGCAGATATTCAATATTCGCTCTCCTCCGAGCTGCGCTTTGGCTCCCGTCGCTTCCTGGGGGAAATATCTGGCTCTTTAGCAGCTCAGTGTTTAGCTGTGTTCATTAGGCGCTCGCTAACTTTCCCCTGGCTCTGCATAGGCATTAGTTCCCTTTTGTGCGCTTCCAATATTATGCAAGGAAGCGTGACTCAGCGTGAGTTGGCCCTTGACTTTGCAGACGTAAATCAGAGGACTCCAGAGTCATGGTGGTGCTGCTTGATCGCTGGCTGTTTATCATATGTTGTTGCATTAGAGTGACGCGATGCTGTCTGCTCCCCAGATCATGCCACATCATGTTTTACTCTAGGTATTGTTTCATCTTCTTTGACTCTCTGCCACATATTTGCACACGTAATCCATTTGCATGATGGCTTTTGCTCCTCGAAACGTATTCGTTCCCTTCTGCCCCCCCTTGTTTTTTTTTCTTCTTCCAATTCAGTTTGCCGTTAAAATGACTAAATGTTCTGCTCTCCTTTAATCAGAACAGCGAGTCAGAATTTCTCTCACTTTAATCTCTGAAGTGTTTTGTACCTCTTGAACTTTTTTCCACATTTTGTCATATTGCAATCGCAAACTTCAGCGTCTTCCATTGTGAACATGCATTGGTATTCAATTCCCTTGCAGAACTGTCTTTTCCTGTGATTGCAGCTGCTGTGTGTTGAGGGTCCACTTCTACTGGTTGTGCACTGCAGTTCTTCTAAATGGATCAAGCTCAGTCTGATTGAATGCAGAGTGTCTGCAAATATCAATTTTGAGGCTTTGCCACTAGGCCTGTCACAGTCACAAATATTTACTGGACGATAAATTGTCCCTGACGTGATTACGATCAACGGTAACATTGTTGCTTGGAGACAATGTCCAAGCAATACAAAGGTGAAGGCGCAGTAATGAAAGGACACATTCTCAAAGGCTAATCAACTTAAAATTTTTATGAACGTTTAAGACTGCAACTTGAAGAAATTTTAAATATCCAGAAATTACAAAAAAAAACAAACAAACACAATTAATTATTAACTTTTTGAAAACAAAATTGTCCTTCCAAAAAAAAAAACAAAAAAAAACTGAAGATTTTTATATTCTAGTTTTTTGTAGAAAGAGAAAAATTATAAGTCAGGCAGAGGAAAATGATTGAACTCATTTTAATTTATCTTTAACTGATTTATTGTTTATTGTGACAGGCCTACTTGTCTCAGATTCTCAATTGTATTTAGAAGCGAACTTTAACTAGGTTGTTGTCAATCTTGATGCTATTTGTTGACTAATGCTCGCTAACGGCATCCTTGAGTCCTTCACACTGCTACGTAGGAGGATTTGAGCGGATTGGAGAGAGGAATACACACTTTAATCTCAGAATTCTGAGAATAAGTCAGAATTCAGTCATTGGTCAGAAATCTGAGAAAAATAATATTTCAGTGGCTCTAATCCTCTTCCACACATCATGTTTGAGATGAAATGACGCAGATGAACTTTCTACGTAATAATGACATCGAAAGAAAATTGGAAATGCTGTTTCTTTATTTCTCCTTCCTGGTTTGATGTTCAATTCTACTTTTAGGCTTTGATTTTTTAGTATGAGTTATTGCCCCTTTTTGTGGACTGAAGTTCTTGTTTTATGTCGGTAATCTGTCATTTCTATTATCCTTGTTTTCACGGAGTTTAGTCACTTTTGGCCAAAGAGTTTCTCTCATGGTTGCATTTTGTGGTTTTGTCATGTCATTCAGTAACTTTCCCTCAGCTCTTCAGTGCTCTGTTTTCCTCACAGGTTCATCCTGTTGTTCATTGGTCTCACCTGTTTTGCACCCAGTAATTACCAAACCAGCTTCCCTTCATGTATTTCCTTCTGTATTTCTCCTCTTAATGACTTCTGGCTCCTCCGTTTCATGTTGGACTTATTACCTTGGTTACTGTTTCATTATTATCATTATAGTTATTATTATTACTATTTTTCAATCAAATATCCGATTCATTTGGTGTGATCGACTTGCACAGCTTGTGACGCTGTTGTTAGCAGTTTGCAAATGAAGCTTTATAAAGCATGTGAATCATGCTGGACATTGAAC